AAATCAGTGTCATTGTGACCAAAACACAGGCAATGCCAATCAGGCATTGCTGAGGGAAATTTCAACCTGCCATTTATCAGCTAATTATGAACTAAGCCTCAGTTTTCTCATTTGTAAAATGGCGTGTTTTGCATGTCTAAGATGATAATTACATAATGTTTCTTTATAAAGTTATTTTAAGGGTTGCGGAGCCTGGGTGGTGTGGTCGGGTAAGCGTCAGGCTCTTGGTTTCAGCTCAGGTTGTTATCTCAGGGTCATGGGATCAAACTGTGCTGCGCACCCTCCCCTCCGGCTCTGCACTCAGTGGGAAGTCGGGCTTGGGCTTCTCTCTACCTCTCCCTCTACCCCTCCTCACATGCTCTCACACACACATTCTCTCTCTCTCAAATAAATACTTTTTAAAGTTATTTTAAGGGTTAAATGAGATTATGTATTCAAAGGGTGTGGCACACAGAATGCATTTAAACTATGATTACTGTTATCAAGAGAAATGTTACGTGCCTTTCAGGGCACCTGGGTGGCTCAGTTGTTTAAGTGTCCGACTCTTGATTTCAGCTCAGGTCTTGATCTCAGGGTCATGAGTTCAAGCCCTAAAAAATAGGGGTACCTGGGTGGCACAGTCGGTTAAGTGTCTGACTCTTGGTTTCTACTCACATCGTGATTGCGGGGTTATAAGATTAACCCCGCATCCAGCTCCACACTCAGTAGAGTCTGCTTAAAATTCTCACCCTCTCCCTCTGCCACTCCCCTCCTCTAAAATACATAAATAAATCAATAAATCTTTCTTAAAAAATAAAGAAAAAAGAATGTTACATTCCTTACTAGATTCCGAGTTTAGTTCTCTTGCAATTAAAATAAAATTTCTCATAGGATTCTAATTCTTTGGAAGATAGAGGATCTGCCTCTACAACACCTGCTCTTCTACAAACTAGAAAAAAGGAGGAATGCTTAGAGCAGTGTGTTGTCCTGACAGAAGAGGCCTTGAATAAAATGCCAAAAATTTGCTAGGCCCCCCACATGACTATAGTTGTATTTTTAGGACAAAAGCCTCTATGAGTTTAGAAACGCTTTTAATTGACTTAAAAGTATATATATATATATATATATATATATATATATTTTAAGATTTTATTTATTTGACAGAGAGAGACACAGCGAGTGAGGGAACACAAGCAGGGGGAGTGGGAGAGGGAGAAGCAGGCTTCCCGCCAAGCAGGGAGACACGCGGGGCTCGATCCCAGGACCCTGGGATCAGGGCCCGAGCCAAAGGCAGACGCTTAACGACTGAGCCACCAAGGCGCCCCAACTTAAAAGTATATTAATCCCAACAACATCAACGAACATTTGGCCAACAGGAGTATATACTTTTGAGACATGTTATATATTCTGGCCACAAGCTGGGCTCCCGTCACGAGTAACATGGAGTCCGCGCAACACCACAGTTCCCTAGGAATCTAGAGCCCATGGTTTAGAAACTACCAGCCAAGCACAAATGTCTAAAGCTTGACTCTGCAAAAGAATCATTTAAGAGTTTATTAAAAATCTTAGGCCTCACCCCCCAGAGATTCGGATTGAGTAAATCAGGGATAGAGACCAGGAATATGAATTTTCCATAACTCCCCAAGTGCTGACAGTGAGTCCAGCGGAGCGTATACTGCTCTAGGAATTAGCATTCCTGACTGGCTCCTCCTCTCTCTTCTGAGGATCTCATTCCAATCACCTTTTCTTTGTTCCTCACAGTTCAGGGCTTCTTCCCCCCACACCCTCACCCCCCTTTACAAGAGAAGGATTTATTTGCTCCTAAAACTAGGACTTCTTTAACTGGAGTTTTGTGCTGACATCACAAAACAATGTGTAGGAAAATCTCTGAGAGTCCAACAGAATGACTAACTTTCTTTAAAGAGCAACAACATATCTTTGCTTTTTGAGGACTTAAATTTGACACTAAAAATACCTTCACATCCATTTTAACTAATTCAGAGGCAACCTGTGTTCACAAATGAAGGATACAGAGATTATACTCAAGTGGTCTGGCTTGAAAATTGGCTCTGTGATGTAAACACCTCAATAGTACTTTAAGCTATTCGTGAAGAGAGAAAAAAATTAGGCTAATAGCCAACAGAAAAGCCAACATAGAAAATGTTGATAAAATTAGAAAATAGCATAAGAAGGAACCACAAAGCTAGAGGAAAGAGCCCATCTTCACCACCAGCTCGCCCCATCCAGAATATTCCCCCAGAGCCTCCCAGGTTCCTACACATTGGAAGGAACTGGGGGTAGGGTGCCAGGATAAGTCCCTTTTTCCTATCCTTTATTATCTTCAGTGCCCTCAAGTGCCTCTTCAATTTCTTGGGAATGTAAGCGCTTAGTTTACAAGGTCAAAATACCATGGAACATTTTCCAAAAATTAAACCAACTGAAAAATGAAAAGTGTTGTTTTAATATTCTCTTCTGCTATTAAGTCACTTTCCCTCTCTCTCTCTTTCTCTCTCTCATTTTTCTCTCCTCCTTTCATTTTCTCGCTCTTTCTCTCCCTCTCTCTCTCTCCTTCCCCTCCCCTCTCCACTTCACCACACACAGAAACCCCTTTTCAAAGGGGCTTTTTTCCAACTCAGTGAAGTAAAGTCTTTGCCCCTTTGTGGGGAAGGCTCATTAACATTCCCACAGCAGCATCTCTTCAAGGATTTTACTTTTGTAACTCTGTGGGGAGGTCAAGAGGCCACAGTGGAGAGGTAAAAGGAAAAAAATGGTAAATGGGGGAGGGCGGAAGAAAGGAGAGGAGGGGAAAGAGCCCTTCCTTTCACAATAAGGCCAGCAAGAAGAGGGGAGGGAAAAAAAATAGGAAAAGACAAGACAGACAAGACCCAGGAAGGACATGAATTTTGGACTCCCAAATCTGCCCTCGGACATCAGAGACTCCTGAGAAAAGCAGAAAGCTATATTCTTTCTCTTGTTTCTTTTCCTCAAAAAGGAAGTAAATGATGGAAACAGTGGGCTGAGAGAGACAGGACCCAGTCTATTCCACTGAGAAATTAGAAGCTTCCCTGGCGTCAGTGTTCTCATTTCCCCCACAACAGCGTGGTGATAACTGCACCTGTCTGGCACAGAGAAGTTAACAGGGTGAATTAGACAATGTCAGCAGGAGTTCCAAGGGTGGAACAGGAGGGAGCCACCCAGGGTCCTGACCCCGAAGGATGGGGAAAATAATGGAGATTCAGTGAACTCCAAAGCAAAGATCAGAGTGCTTCCCAAACCCCTTCAGATGTGTGTACCTGCCTTGTTTCTCACCAGCAACCCTCCGACCATCTGTTGTCTCTCTCTCTCTCTCCCCCTTTCTTAATATTGTCACACCAGCCTGGATCCGGGTCAGGGAAGAAACCAGGGGAACTTCCAGTTTGCACCGAACGCTGTGAGTGAACTTTGTTTTATTCTTCTCTGAAGACGCAGCCATCAGATATTTACAGCCCTGAGCTCCAAAAGGGAAAAGAATTTCCACTTTCCTAACTGATGGTGTCTCAGATACTCTTTCATCTCAGCCAGGAGAGTACAAGGTAAATAAGTCCAGGAGAAGAGGACTCATGCATCATAGTGAGGAGATAGGGCACATCTGGTTATTCTATGCTCAGGAGCGTAGTATGGCCAGAAGTTAAAGAACAATAAATGAATCACCCTTAATGTGCAGGCTGAGCAGGAGAGAACTGGTTTGTGGCCAAATGATGTATTTTAGAGATGGAGACATTTTTAAAGGTCAAATATGATAGCCACAAGGAAATTCTTTCCACAGAATCCCTGACATTTGTTTTCAGCCTCTGCGAGAACTTATTACAGAGAGCTCACCCATTCACCGGAGAGTCCATTACACTGTTAGAAAGTTCCTTCATATTGAGCTGGAAGTGCCTCCTTGTAGCTTCCAGTCTGAAGTCCCACAGAATCATCTACATCATCTTCTCAGAGCTGGCATACCTTCAGCCCCAGGAGCTGGACAGGAGCCGGAGAAACAGAAAAGCCAGGAACTCTGTTGCTATTTTAACTGGGATTCCTTAAGATCAATCACTTTTTTTGTCATGCTAGGAGCCTGGTGGCATACTGGACCTTTAATAATATAGAGGGGAAAAATGTTAGCCTGCTGTCAGATGGACCTGTCTGTATTACATCAGAGCTATGCAACCTTGGATAGGTTACTTAACCTCACGGATCCTTTTGCTTACCTATAAAGAGAATCATCTATAAATAGGAGTAGTCAAACCTGCTGTGCTAATCTTAGAGTTGTAATGCTCAAAATATGTCATGTACATGAAAATATCCTATATGTTATGGAGAGCTCTCTATATATTAAGTTTTACTGTAATGACTGTCCATCTTCATCTTTTTGCCAGCCTTTCATATCCCCATTTTCGACTGGTGGTAGCTGACTTCTTGGCCTCATAATCAGGATATACAGGAAAGTTCTTATTTCAGCTTTATACCCCAGACACAGTCGCATCATCAAACAAGGTGGCATAGAATCGTGAGAGAACCCAAAAGCACTGTGAGGACCTTGGATGAAGAGTTAGAGAAATAAGCAGGGACATTTTCTGAACAGACAGCACAGGGAGAGGCCGGAGCCCTGGCAGTGAGGAGAGGGTTAAATCCTTCCCCTCTGCAGTACAAAAGAAAAGAGTGTGCGGAAAGATTAGGATTTTTGCTTTTACAATGGGAGCTGCAGAAGCGTAGGGAAGAAGCTGAAGAAAAAAAAGGGGGCGTCTCCCCTTTAAAGACTTGCAGAGATTGAGAGAGAAAGAGAGAGAGAGAGAGAGAGAGAGAGTCAGGGACAGAGAATCAGAGAGAGCGCGGGCCAGTCTGTCTGTCTGTCTCTGGGAAGGGAGAACGTCTCTGCTTCACAGTGATTAGCACTGGGGGAGAGGCATCCGTTGGCTTCAGACCCAAGGAGAGACCAGACCAGGTCACCCCGGTTAGGACTCAGTGAGCTTTGCCCCTCCCTACCCCACCGCCACCCGGGAATGTCTCGGCGAAAGCAGCGGAAACCCCAACAGTTAATCTCGGACTGCGAAGGTCCCAGCGCGTCTGAGAACGGTGGGTGCCTGGGGAGGGGTGCGGGAGCCCTGAGTCCCAGCCCGTGTGGGTCAGGCCAGGGCAAGGGAGGGCACCTGGGCCACGGGTAAAGCCAGGGGAGGACTTGGTCATTGGGGGTGTGAAGGCATTGGATGCAGGGAGTAGTAAGGCGTTGACCTGTGCTGGGGAGAAGCCCCCGCTTGGCTTTCCTCGGGATTGATTCTGTTTGTGTTTTCCTTGTTTTTCTCCGAATGAAATGGAGTTTTCAAACTGGCTCTGTCTCCCCACCCAAGAGTTTTCTCCTCAGGTCCCCCTTTGCTCACTGGTCTTTGTGCCGTTGCTAAGTAACCTCCTCAGACCTGGAGGCCGTCTCTTAGGGGTGGGATTTTCCCCCCTTTTCTTTCTGGAGAGTTGGGTTGCAAGAGAATGAATTGGATAAACGAAGGTTCCCCTGAGGGAGAAGAGAAAAAAGTTTCTCATTGTTGGGCTGAGCTGAGAACAGATCAGAGCTCCCAGAGGGAGAGAGCTAATGTCCGTCAGATGCCGCCTGGTTTGGGGTGTGGAGCCATGTCACCTGGGGTAGAGACCGGAGGGCTTAGGGTTGTGCTTCAAGGGAGGCCAAGCTAAAAACAAAACAAAACAAAACAAGTATGAGTCAACATACTTGCATCTTTTTTTAAAGTAACAGATTTTCTGGGGACCCTGGCTGGCTCAGTCAAAAGAACATGCAGCCCTTGCTCTTGAGGTCGTGAGTTCGAGTCCCACATTGAGTGTAGCAATTACTTAAAAAGAATTAAATAAACTTAAAAAAAATAAAGGAACAGATTTTCTCTATGAAAGGGGGAGGGTTATTTCATGTATTCTTAGAATAGTCCAGGACGTCGTGGATAGTGGAGCAACGAGGGTATTGAAAAGTGACATTGCCCAAAGTCTCAGAAACAGTGAGAGGCACTGTCAGGACCAAAACCTAGGTTTCCTGAGGCTCAGGGCTGGTGGTGCTCACTCTGCTACATTATTAGGGTTTTTCAAACTTGCTTGATTGTGGATCCGGCCTAGAGTCTGGGAATCTCTATCTTTGCAAGGGATCAGGTAGTTCTAGGATCAGGCAAGTTTTGGACATACTGCTATGGCTATATACATTCATGCTGTGAAAGTCTGGAAGTCCTGCCTCAGGGATAAGCTATTTAGCAAACAGTTGATTCACCCGACAGTGTAGTATAGTACTAAGAACAAAGGTTCTGAAGCCAGACTTTCAGGATTCAAATCCTGGTTCCACCACTTGGTTAGCTGTGCAACCTTGGTTTACTTTGCCTCTCTGTGCTGTTTCCTCATCTGTAAAACACTACCTACCTCCTTAGGTTATTGTGAGAATCGGAATGAGTTAATATGTATAAAGCACTTGGAAAAATAAATAGTATAAGTAAGTGTTCAATATATATGGTATGGTCCCTAACAGAAATAAGTACTTAATATGTGTGAGTATTGTTATTATATATGAGGACATTGGCACTTCCTGCAAGGGCTGAAATATGTCCAAAGCTCAGGAACCTCTTGGCGAACTTTAATATTTCTCTAGGAGACATGTGCTATGAAAAGCTCTAGCTAAGATACTGTATTTGTAGTGACTAAAATGAAGTTATGATTAAACTTACCTTTCTACCTGTTGTAAAAAAAAAAAAAAATGAGTGCTCTATGTGCTAAGGAACAGCCTTAACAGACATATTGTATTTTGGATAGAACACATTCTCCTCAAGTCACTGCCTTGCTGGGATCCCACTGTGCCCATATTTAGAGGTTCATGGTGGTGGCATCCTTCCCTCCTGGGACACATTCGCCCTCCTCAATGCTGCTGCAGGCCGGATGTTTCTTCCTCAGGCTCTACAGGAGACTTTCCGTTGCCTCACAGTCCTGCTCCCCTGCTGGTTGGATTGTGGAACAATGCCGAAACACCCCCTGCCTCCAACCGCCTCCCCAAAAAACAACCTCTCCTCTCCTCTTCTCTCCCCACACCTCGCAAGTTTGCTCACCCACAGCCCACACCACTGCTGATGAAGAGCCTGTGAGGGAGTCAAAAGAAATTTTTCACCACTGCCCTGAGTGGATTCTTAAGCCCCTTGAGCTGTAGCTCCCACTTGGGGCCGCGAACACTGCGGGGCATGGGGATGCTGCCACAGTCATCCCCGTAGAAACAGTGCAGGCTCCAATCCAATGGCGGCAACACATTTGAGCTGGAATTTTTGCCTTTGAGCCATAAAAGTCAGAAACGTAAATGAGAGGAGCAAGAAGGCAGCAGTAACTTCTTAAGGTCTGCTTTAAGAAAGCTGAAGGGTTTTCTGATCAGAATTCTCCTGAGAGAATTCTGAGAGAAAGATCCTGTGCTACTTGCGTGACCCGGAGTGTCACTGGGTCACATCTGGAGATGAGGTGGCTGTATCTGATCAAATCTAAAGTTCTTTCCTGCTTTTACAAGATAGATAGATTTCCCACTCCCTCCTTTTCCATTGGTAGAGTTCTTACTTGCTTACGTGATCTTCAGACCCCTGACTTTTCTTTCTACCACAGAAGACATTTTCTTGTTCTGCATGTGCCCAGCTTAGGTGGGGAGGGACTCTATGTTCATCCTCTGGTGTCCCTGTGAAACTATGGGCATCCCTCAGGAATATCAGCAGACCTTTATTTAGCAGGTGAGGGTGTCTCCAAGGTTTTCAGGAGTACTTGCCTTCTTTTAAGCAATGTTTACCATATGTGACAAGCAAATGCTAAGCCTTTGTTGCACATTTATAAGCCTCATCTCTGCGGTGACCTAAGATGTCACCAAGAAACAGTCTGAAAAAACCTGTTTTCTAGCCCTGTTTTTGTTCAGCTTCCCTGACCAGAACACCAAAAACCTAACAGAATAGTTATTGCACATAAGTGATGAGAAGGAAATAGTATATTTACTTAAAAACTCCGGAGAGAGAAAAAATTTTCTCTCTCCCCTAGAGTCTAGAAATCTGGATTAGAGAACATAAGGGACGTGACTGGGGAAAATGTAAACTCATACATCTGGGAAATAAAGGAAACAAACAGAAACCCAGATATTTAGTGAGAAGGAGAAACCAGGACAACAGCCAAACAGATCTAGAGGGAGAAATGGGAGCTGGCAGACATCAAGAGCAGCAAAAGGAGAAGGAAGGCAAAAAGAGAGTTTTGAGGGCTCTGTTTGTCTTCATATCTGGAAGTAGAGAACATAATCCCTCAGGGTATGGAGCCCAAGCCTTTCAGTCCTTAGGAACCCTGGGTCAAAAAGAAAACATCTCTGTGTAGATAGAAAGTAACTCAGGTGGGGTGCAATATAGAGCACTGGATCAGGAAGCAGAAAACCTGGTTTTTATTTATTTATTTGTTTGTTTGTTTGTTTTTAAAGATTTTATTTATTTGACAGGGAGAGACACAGCGAGAGAGGGAACACAAGCAGGGGGAGTGGGAGAGGGAGAAGCAGGCTTCCCGCTGAGCAGGGAGCCCGATGCGGGGCTCGATCCCAGGACCCTGGGATCATGACCTGAGCCGAAGGCAGACGCTTAAGGACTGAGCCACCCAGGCGCCCTGAAAACCTGGTTTTTAATCCAGCTTGGACTTTGAAGCTAGGTGACCTTGGGTGGGGCCATTCTTGTTCCAGGGCTTCAGTGTTTGGCCTTTATTTATTTATTTATTTATTTATTTATTTATTTATTTATAAAGATTTTATTCATTCACTTGACAGGGAGAGAGAGAGAGAGAGAGCGCACAAGCAGAGGGAGTGGCAGACAGGGAGAGGGAGCAGGCTCCCCGCTGAGTAGAGAACCCAATGTGGGGCTAGATCCCAGGACCCCAGGATCACGACCTGAGCCACCCAGGTGCCCCTCTTTTTATATTTTTAAAGATTTTATTTATTGGGGCACCTGGGTAACGCAGTCATTAAGCGCCGGCCTTCAGCTCAGGTCATGATCTCGGGGTCCTGGAATCGAGCCCCACATCAGGCTCCCTGCTCAGTGGGGAGCCTATTTCTCCCACTCCCCCTGCTTGTGTTCCCTCTCCCGCTGTGTCTCTCCCTGTCAAATAAATAAATAAAATCTTTTTAAAAATTATTTATTTATTTATTTATTTATTTGAGAGAGCAAGCATGAGCGGGGTGAGGGGCAGAGGGAGAAGAAGAAGCAGACTCCCCACTGAACAGGGAGCCCGAGGCAGGGCTCAATCCCAGGACCCCGAGATCATGACCTGAGCTCAAGTCAGACACTTAATCGACTGAGCCCCCCAGGTGCCCCAGCATTTGGCCTTTAAATAATACACTCCTCAGTAATATTTGTGGAGCATTTACTATCTGTCAGGTACTATGCTAGGCCCTGTATGCATTTCCTTTTGTTTATTCCTCCCAACTCCACTATTATTACTTCCATTAAAATTTTTTTAAAGATTTTATTTATTGGGGCGCCTGGGTGGCTCAGTCGTTGGGCGTCTGCCTTCGGCTCAGGTCATGATCCCAGGGTCCTGGGATGGAGCCCCGCATCAGGCTCCCTGCCCAGCGGGGAGTCTGCTTCTCCCTCTCCCGCTCCCCCTGCTTGTGTTCCCTCTCTCACTGTCAATCTCTCTGTCAAATAAATAAATAAAATCTTTAAAAAAAAGGTTTTATTTATTTGTCAGAGAGAGAGAGCGCAAGCAGGGGGAGCAGCAGAGGGAGAGGGAGAAGCAGACTCCCCGCTGAGCAAGGAGCCCGATGTGGGACTAGATCCCAGGACTCTGGGATCATGACCTGAGCCGAAGGCAGATGCTGACTGAGTCACCCAGGCATCCCCCCATTAAAATTTTTTTGAATGTGTAGTAAAACATACATAACAAAAGTTACCATTTTAACCATCTTTAAGCATATAACTCAGTGACATTCAGTATATTCACAGTGTTATGTAACCATTACCAATATCCATCTCTAGAACTCTTTCTTCCTGCAAAACTGCAACCCTATACCCATTTTTTTTTTTTGGTGCAAAAAGGTGATTTTTTAT